AGTGGGTATGGTCGTATGTGCTTGATGTGTGCAAGTCTATGACTTATATTGAACCTGTCGTAAGCTCTGTCCCCAAGTTAATATTATCTGCTTCTGCAGACCAAGTCATCGTCTTGAGCCACCCTATTACCTCATTGCACACATATTTGTAATCCTTTCCACCAGGGGTCATCAAAGAAGGCGGTGGTGAAGAACAAACTTACGCGTGTTTTCAACCCTTGTTTGAGAAGCTCCATTGGGAGGAATGTTACTTGGATGGTGAACGTGAAGTGCAATCCTGCTGGTTGGTGTTGATAATTGTCAAAGCCTTGATCATACACTGAATCCAAAAACTGATCCTAAGACAGGAGTTATTTCAACTGATATACCGGCTCCATCGTGCCAAAAAAAGGTCATCACGATCGTAGTTTCCTACACATTCCCCCCCTCTTATTCAAAAATTTCCACTCCATCTCCCTTCACACTTCAAACCTTCCCCCTTCTCAATTCAATTGCTATTGCACCCATTCGGCCGGTCACTCAAGCATTGCGTCGTGCACGTCCTCCCAATGAGCGTATCATACGACTTGCCACTCGCCCATCTAGTCGGGCACCCCTTCCTGACCGCATTCGCGCCGTTGATGAGGTGTCTGTAAACGGCCCCGGACACGTTGTCGGCCCAGCTGACGCAGCACGTGGCGCCCCTCTGGTAGAAGCAGATGGACCGAGGGCTGGGGGGGAATGGGGGTGTCGCGCAGCAGGACGGAGGTGTCCAAGGTCATGACCTCACAGGTGGGCATGAAGGTCTGGTGGTCGCCGTAGCAGGCGACGCGGTTGGAGCCGCAGCGGCGGTTGAGGGCGTGGGTGGATGCTTCGTCAGGGACAACAGTGTTTGTGGCGTTGACGGGATTCTCGTCGCCGAACCTGTGAAATCGGGGTCAAGTTTGTTAGCCCAAATCTTGGGTTGATGTGGTCATGAGGTTGGAAGGCTTGGGGACGGACTTACCAAACTACGGTGCCTCCGCTTTTGGTCTCGTACTGCTCGAGGATCTTCAGTCCCTCGGGAACGTCAATCTTCAAGGCGGTAGTGTCACTGCTGGCACTGCCGGTGGCAGGAGCAGCCGTGGAGAGAGTGGCGAGGAAGGCCGCAGCGATGAGGATTTGCTTGGAGAACATTTTGGCTGAGTTTGTTCACTAATGATCCTCGAGATGGGAACTGAATTTGCGTGAGGGAAGAAGCTGATGCTGGACCTGATGAAGATGGTGCTTCTTTTCAGCATTGTCGTCGGCGAAGCTCCTGCCCTTTTATATCTTCAAGGCTCCGGATTCCTTTCATGTTGCCTCTCGGCATTCGGCATGCTGTCATGTTGCCAAGTGCTTGTTACTACAAGGTTCTCAATCCTTCTCCCTGCCATCGGTGAGAATCAGGCAGTGGTATCTTTACTTTGCCGTCGGTGATTTATGCTTTGTGTCAATGGGTCGAAAAGTTTGTGTAAGCTGACGGTAATGGAAATCTGTTGTCTCGGTACCGATGTTGTCCTAACGTAAGACTCTGGGCAGACGAGGCCAACTGGTTCCGGAGGATTCAAATGTAACCGCATATCATAGAGTAAGTGCCCTAGGCCGCAATGCACGGATTTCGAGCCTTGTCTTCTTCATCAACTTCATTTGTTGTGCTATACAAGGTAATGCGTGTGTGATCATTGGTTTCCGTCTTGGGCTTGCGTCGCAGAATGAGACTCGAAGATGTTCCAAGGTAGGATTCGGGCGGTCTTCCAATTCGAAGTTTGTGTTATATAGGTCCATGATGGTCGGATTTCGTTTTCAAAATGGAGGGCATCAAAGAGCAAAAAAGTTCGGTGATGTAGTGCAATTGATGACCAAGTGTAAAGACAGTCAGACATTGCTCTCTTAACGCTATGAAACAAGCTGACTCAACGAAGTCTGGCATCTTGCGGGACTTATGCTTCGCGTTCTTGTTCAGCTTTTCGCCTTGTGTTCTGGAACTCCGCGCTCCTCAGGGCAAGTCGAAACCACTCCGCATCATTCTGCGAGACCGCCATGGGATTCCGTTCCAATGCTCTCGAGACCCGCCACCACCGCTGCATGGCTTCCACGCTCATACAAGGAGGCTCACCAGGCTCGGTGTAGGGGTCTCTGAATGACTCTCCTGGGCCAAATCCCGATCGAAGACTGGGGTCAAGAGGAGGATTGTTGGGTCGGAAATCAGCCGAGGTATTATCTTCCGACTCGTCGTCCCATTCCGAGTCAATCTCTCGGTACATGGCGTCGATTTCTCGATCGTATTCCATCATCTCTTCATATTCTGAATCAACCCATTCCTCCTCTTCTGGTTCTTCAAGCGACAGCTCATTTAGCATAGGTCCCAGAAATCTGTCTTCGGGGTGAGAAAGCATTTTGTCGTAGTCCTGGATGGTTTCGAGGAAGAGAGTTACGTCGTTGCGGTAGGGTGCAACCACTTCTTTGTAAACTTTGGAAGCTAGGACCAGGAACTCCATCATCTTGCTTTCTCCTCCCACAGGGTCGAGCACCGTGGAAAATATGTAGCCCACCACGAAGGGAAGCTGGTGCTCCCTCTCTATCCAAGTCGGCCCGGCAACACGGTTGAAGTAAGGGTCCACGGCGGTTTTGAGACTGCGCAAGAAGTCCCAGCATTGTCGGTGCATTGCCAGATAATCGACTGACGTTTCGGGAATTTCGGCTTCAATATCAAGAGCCAGCTGGTGTATGAGCTGGGATGGTGTGGCCTGAGGTGTCTTCTGTGGATTTGGACTTTTCTTGCTGAGAATCGCTTGCACATCGTCCACAGACAACTTGATTCCTTCCATGCTTGGCCTGTATTGGTTATGGAACATGGAGGATACCTTACCTTGAGCCGCGAGAGAGCGTGGGCCTGCTTTTGTGGGCACGAGCTTTCGAGTCTTGTTTCTTGTACTTGCTATGAAGCTGGTTGCCGAAAAGCCCATCATCATGCAAAGCTGTTTGTGGTAGTTTTCCCGCTCTGTGGGCGCCGCGCCGACAAAAAACTTGTCTTTACCGCCTTGCAAACGATAGAAAAGTTCCATATCTTCCCATTTCGCGGCGTCGCTGATCAGGTTCTCATTACACAAGGCGTTATAGAGATGGCCAGTATAGAGGATGCCGCCCCAGCAGCGCTCGAACTGGGCTGCAAGGAGGTGGTAGGTTGTGCGGATGTAGTGAATCCAAAGGCCGCAGAAAAGGGGATGCATCTTAAGAAATGTGTGTTCTTTGTTGTTACGGGAGGTTAGAAGTCCTGTGGACTCGATCACTTTGTATAGCGGGTTCTCGGTGAACCAGCGCGCCTCGTTTTGGAGCCTGATAAGTCGCTTCTTGCCGTCGACTTGATCCCAGCCCTCTGTTGCGCACCGTTAGCAACGGACCTGGAAGTCCCAGAGACTATAGAGACTGATCTTACTAATGGTTAAGCCCTCATAATACTCCAAATTCTGGGTTATACTGTCGTCGATGGCCATATTGTAGCGCATCATGGCCCAAAACGGCTTCTCAGACTGCCGTCCTAGAACACGGCGTATATCGAGGTGAATAGCTGTGGCAAATCCAAGCCAGAAAGGTATGGCCTTGTCCTTGTTGGTAAGGAGAAGACGCAGCCCCCGCAAGAGCTCGTCCTCAACAGGCATACCTGAATGTAATCCTTCCGGGAGGGCATCTGGAGGGGTAGTGTTGAACCGTCCCATAAGATCGAACTGGGGCGCAACTTCCAAGAAGGCAGCTTTATCTTGCTGCCATTTGACATCCGCTGGCGCTGAATCATAGTCGATCGTAAGATCATACCAGCCAAACTTGCCGTTATAAGTCACCACCTCGCTCGATGCCCTTGCCTGGTTAATCCACGCTTCGAGAAGGATGAACGAAACGGTCATAGACTCGTCCATCATGGGAAAGGCGTCGAGGTTCATGATATGGCCTGGAGTGGGCTTGGCCATATCGATGCCTTGGCTGCTGGCAGCCATTTGGCAGTAGAAAAGGGCCCAATCCTTGGCCGTCTTCTTGTCCCCGTTCAAGCGGATGCTATCGATAGCATCTTCCTCCATGAATCGGGCAATATTGATGGCCGTGTTTGTAGCAATGGCCACGGAAGGCAAAGACAGCTCGTCCTCGGCATAATCCGCCCATAGACTCTTGACCTGCACCCGGAGAGCGCGAACATCGCGAAAGAGGGTAGCAAAGGCGACGAGAGAGGACGCAGCGTCTTCAGCTTCATAATCAACAACGACGCCCTCGTCGACTGCTTCCCTGCTCTTAGCTGCTTGCTCCGTGCTTCCTGGGGCGTCTCCCCCGAGGTCAAAATCGGGTGCATCATAGAACTCGAGAAGATCAAACGGGTTGCTGGTTGCTGTTATCTTGGGCAGCTTGGGAAGGGCCCTCTTGGCCCAAGAGTCTTTGAACAAAGGCTCGAGGACATGACGAACCTTCTCTAGAACCGAGACGAAATAGGAGTGGTTCTCGTTGGACTCAAGCTTCAGGTCGCGGCCATGCTCCTGAAGGAGCTGTGCGAAGCCCTTTCGCACCGTGATGGCACGCTCAATAGCCGTCGGAACGACGGTTGGAATCTCAACGATCTTTGCCTCGTTCAATTTGCTGCCGATGAACTCGGCGAGCGGCACAAAGTTTTTGAGCGCCAACACATACTTCCGCCTCGCCTGTGACTGGTCTGACGAGTTGCCAGCCTGCCCGTGTGCTTGGGCTTTTGCCGATTTTCGGGCTTTGCCCTTGAGGCGAGCGCTCTTGAGGTGGGCATTTGTGGGAGAAACCGAGTTGGAAGCGAGAAGTTCGGCGGCGCAGCCCAGTGTCTTTCCGGTCTGAGCTAGCCACGATGCAACAACATCAGTATCGTGCTTGTACTGGCGATATGTACTGTAAAGATTGCTTGGCAACATCGTGACCTATCGACGAGAAGGTGAGGTGGTCAGGTTCATATTTGTTGGCGGCATTCGTAGCAGGCAAGATCCTGAAAAGGCAGCATGGGAAAGCTTGGGGCAGATGGAGAATTCAAAGGGTGGGCGCTAACAGCCACTAACAGACTCACGGCCAAAATATGCAAAGACGTGTTACTGCTCTCTAAGGCCATGTACAACACACTACCTGCACGAGTCGCGATGCTGCAGTGTTTTTATCCAAATCTCCATCTTGGCTCAGCAACCACTCCTGTTCAAACAAAAACACTAGATCCATCCGCATAATTCACCACAAAATCGGCCATCTCAATCACATCCCTTTCACCTTGGACCCTTCACTGTCCCAGTCGACAGATATAGGCTCATGATTACCGGAGAACTTCTGGCCTCCAAACCACAATTCGAACCTCAAATCAGCCGGCGCCACAATTACCCTGACATCGAATTGACAGATGTAGAAGGTGACCCCACGGGACCAGCAAGTTCCTCTCTTGTTGATTTTGACAAGCTGATCTTGCTCGATTCCCTCCAGATTGCTTTTCACTTCGCAAAGCCTATATGCTCCATCTGCAAGACATGTCAGCCGGAAGTTCACCACATGCCAAATATGGCGAGGGCCGGGTCCTAACCTTGCTTCATGCTAGTCGGTAACTGTACAGGATCCTTGTGGGAAATGACGATTTGAGAGTCCCAAGCCCTTGTCGTCTCTGTTGCGGCAAGCCGGATCTGAAAAGACTTTACCAAAAACGTGTTGGGGTTTACTTGATCACCCTTTTTGATGAGCCACTGAATTTGGTTCACAGCCCATTTCTTGCTCGGCTCAAATGGGTCGGGGCGGACGTCTTCGTTGGTATGCATGGTGGGCACGTATATCTCCTGGACGATAACCCCGTAACTTGCTCGAGCAATGCGGATTGACAACACCGAGGTGGCTCCCCCCTGATTCCCATCTCTGTTGCCGGTCAAGGAGAAGGCCTCTCACCACCACCAACTGAGGGTCACTGCAAGGGATGACTGCCACTTGGTCGCTCGCGTTGGGATGTTGGTGGGCGAGAACTCGCTGCTGGAGCTGATCACGGACGTAGGCTGAGCTGCCCAGTCCGCCTGAAAGAACCATGTATTGCACCTGGTGCAAGTGTCCCATGGTTCTGAGCCATTCCAGCTCGCCCATGATTCTGTTCACGATACCCTCAATTTGTGGGTCAAACAGTGATTGTATTTCTTGACTATTTCCAGGTTAGCAAGGCAATTGTGGAATGACTAGAGGGTATCGTCTGACAGCAGATACTCACAGAGTGAACACCATCTTTCCGTTCTCGATCCCCAGCCCAGCGTGGCTAAAGTTATACGCCAATCCTTCTATCGGAATCCTAAACAGCGCCTGCATATACGCTCTTTCTCCAAACTTGTGCTTCACTGTCCGGAACTGGTGGCTCCTCGCCAGCCGCAAAGGCAAACCAGGAGGTATATGCGCCGCAGCATCCGGACAGGCATCCAGCCTCTGTGATACCAAGCGCATAAATAGCCGATCGATCAGTGTTGCGCCTATCCCTACGCCGTTGACGGCGTGCAATGAAGCCATCTGTGGAACTGCCACATTCGAGGATGTGACTTGCATCAGGGCCAAGTCCGTCGTTCCACCTCCGGCATCGACAGTGAGAAAGACGCTCCCCATGCTAAAGCTAACGGCACTCGTTTTGAGCGTGGCCACAGCCGCCGCCTCGGCTTCGGTCAGATCAACCTGCGCAGAGTGCTTCGGACCTTCGATGCCAAAACCTGCCTCTCTGATCACCTTCTTGAACGAGTTGACGATACTTTGACTCGTCCAGGTGGTAGGAACGCTAAAGAGGAACTCGACAACCAGGTCTGTCCAGCCGCTGCCTACTCCGCGTCGTCCAATCTGCGTTTCGATGGACTCTTTGACGTGGGCATAGACCTGCCGGAGAAAGTCAGTCACGAACTGCTGCGCTTCGGCGATGCTCTGCGGTGCGCTGGTGAGGCCTTGCTGCTGCGCGTCTGCCAGTGTATCCGCGTCCATGAAGATCTTGAAGAATTCCCGACGAATCTTCCCACCGCCTTGAACTCCGGCTTCAAGCTCGTCGTCGGCACACATGAAACCCCATGACGAGAGAGTGCCGTTGGCATTGTAGACCAGCGTTGTTGGCACCTTGCGTTCACCTCGATCGCCGCTGCCGGGCCAGTCGCTGATCACTTGGATGGGGGTCTTGGGCGTCATCCATGCCACGCCCGTATATGTGGTGCCGAGGTCGACAGAGACAACAATACCCGGGCCGTTTTGATACATCTTGAGATTGATATGGGTGAAAAGCTTGGTGTATGCCAAAACAAATTGTGCTGAAGACTGATCTTTGAAGATTAAGTTATCTTTGCCTTGACCCTGAATACCCCAGGCCCCCTTTGAGCTCAAGTTCGCGAGAGACAGTCAGGTCTAGCTCGTAGCTCACGACCTGGTATGAGAGGAGCCCAAAAAGCCCAGGGCTGCCTGCATCACGGAGGCGAAGCTCCAGATGCACCGGAACCTGCAGAAACCTAACCTTGTATGTTTCCGCGAAGGCAGGCAAAAATGGAAGGTTGGGCGGCTCGAAGTGGCCTACGTTTGGTTCATACATTACGACCAACTGCGAGGAGTGGCTGCTCAGGGATCCTGTGGTGCACGTATCCGACAGAGACAAGGCCACCCATTACTGGAGAAGAAATTTGCCATTGGCCGTCCATGAAGGCCTGGATCTAACTATTGTCATGTTTCCATTACGCGACAAGGATAAGCTGTGGCACGATCCTGTTATCAGTCATTTTTGTGGCGGTCCAGCTGGACTGCACCGAAAAATATGCAGACATATCACACAGTGTGTATCGTTTCTCCTGGGTCGACGACTGGAGGCTCTGAGCAGGTGTTCCTCCTCGATCAATTCTCATTTCATTTTATTGAAAGGAATCTCCGCCCGGTCTTGTTCACTTGGAAATGATCAGTCATTCCTCGGAGTTCTTCTAAGCGTTGCGCTCTTCATCCTCCACTATGGCGCAGCCTCCACCTACAACGGTGACTCAAACTATCACAACCATTCTCACAACCAGTGGCACACCGATCACATACACGGCAGCTTATGTTTACGACAGCCAAGCAACTCTATCTACTACTTCTGGCCCTCAAGGAATCCAAGAGGTTATATCCGCAACATTGCTATCGTTTCTTGGAGAGCGCCCAGGTAGTCTTCCGGCGACAGTATCCCCGAATGCACCAACAACCATCTATTTGCCATTTTCACAAAACCCAAGCATACAGTCCACAGGATCAACATCCTCAATGTCCGCCCCGTTGACATCGATGCCGATGTCGGCATCGACACCAGTAACAACATCACAGTCAGGATCAAGCTCAAGCTTTGCGACCACCTGCAGTTTCACCGTCAACGGAAACAGCACCGTTTATGATCCATCCTGCCCTACAAAATCGCCCCAACCGGGTAAAGAACGGGGCAAACTGAGCTCTGGTGCAGCGGCCGGGATAGCTATCGGCTGTCTCCTCGCTGGTCTTCTCCTTGGCCTTGCCGCTGCCTTCTGCTTCTTCTCAAGGCGAAAGCAAAGACACGGAGGCCATAACGATGTTGCCCATGTTGCCGCGACACCCTCCAGAGAGGCGTCCTACGCACCGATGATTTCAGGGATGAGGAGCCATGGCGACAGTGGCATGCCCGAACTGAAACACTTTCTTCTCGAATCCCTCTCGGACCAAGAGCTCGCCGCCGAGCTTCGCGACCGACACAACCTCATCCAGCAACACGTCGAAAACCACTATCACTTCCGCCCCCTGGATGCTACGCGTATGAACCGCCAAAGCCTCCTCGCGGCCCTCTCTCAGCTAGGGCTAGGCCAGGCTGGCTCCGAGGGTCCTCCAGCCGAAACGATCATGTCACTTGCTTTGGACCCGAACACCAGGCAGATAACTCTACAGCACGTTCTATCCACGGTCATCTTCACGAGCATCGATCCCGGGGCTCGAAGCCATCTCTCCATGCTGCCCACGTCCGTTGCGGCGTTTCTGCAGTCTCTTCCCCCGGATGAACAGCACGGGCTCAGAAGACAGGTTGATTCTCAAGGTTTGTTTCCTATCACCACTTGCTCTCCTCCACTTGCTAGAAATCTTCTGCTAACCAATGTCTAAATAGCTTCCACCCTAGCTCTACACTGGTGGCGTGCCCTCTCCGCCTTTTTACTACACCCCCAACGCAGCCAACGGACAGCACTGACCCCCTCAGACGCGGCGCTCGTGCCTCAGGCTGCTGCTCTAGCGCAAGCTTTGAATCGCTTCCTGCGACACTTCGTCGAGGACTCGGATACAGCCAGGTTCCAGCAAGAAAGTCACCTGCGGGAAGTCATCGCCGAGTGTGCCAAGTTTGGGTACGTGCTGTTTTCACAGCCGAGTGACTGGTGTTTCTTGCACGTTGCTAGACCCGAACAAGCGGCCGGTACGGCTCGTGGCTACCGAGGGAAGGTAGTGGTTGCTGCTGGTCTAGTCAAGCATACGGATAAGGATGGAAGGCGGTTAGGTGGAAGTGCGCAGACGAATGGGACGTTGGTGGTTCCACCTGTAGTTGGGTGCCGGAGTGAGTGAGGTGGTTTGGCGTTCATTGACAGGCGGCAATTTGGTAAGGTGCTGAATACACAATCGAGGATAAGGCATATCGCACTTGGGTGGAATTCGCGTGCTTGGGCGGAGAGCAACGAGAAGTGTCGAAGCAAGTAAAGGGGTTGATTGTTGACCAACCTCTACAGCAACATGTGGTGGTCAACTTTCAGCTCGTGTACCAAGTCCCTCCTGTTATTGGTGTCCATGATCGGTTATAACGACAACATTGGGATTGGGCAATCCTCAACCAACAAAGCGAAGATCCCAGAACCCACCGCCTTTTCCCGCCTAGAACACTGCATTCCTCATCACATATGACAGGCGAGGCTCTCACATGTGCGAACTCCCCGTCATTGACACTGTACCCCTATCCCATGTCAACACTGTATGGCCGCTGAACTTGCAGGGGGGCTGAAAGGCAGCACTGCTTTGAGACTGAGACCCCCAACATTGAGAAAAGGCAGCCATTATACGTCGGTTGTGGCGTCTAAATGGCGGATTCCAGACTTGGTCACACCGTCACACAACTTTAGCGTTCAGCTTCATACCACGGACTCCTTGGGGATGCTCCTCCCCCGCGGGAAAGTTCCTTTTTTCCAGGCTGCTTGCCTGTCTACGTAACCCTTGAGAGCTCCTCATCGTAAGGCTTTCTTATCAAGGATTCCTGACTGGTAGTTAGGGACTTTAGTTGCATATGGGCTTCCAGAAATGCCCTGACCATTTATTGCTGTGTCACCTACCTGCGTCACCATTCTTCGCAACTCGTTGGGAATTTCTAGCCAAGTTTGGCTGGATCAGGCTCTCAGGTAAACAGAATCAGGATGGTCACTCAACCATAACCTAGCTGGAACACAATACCTTAGGGAGGGGCACATTGCATCCGATACTTGTAGTCTCGCCGCTACCTTGCACATCAATACGTAAGTAGTAATACCGGGCTTTGAAGAACGCATTGGGGTTCCAGACTTGCATGCAGCTGAGTTTCTTGAGCCAAGTTGGGGAGCCGTCCTTCTGGTTTCCCGTTTCTCCCGTTGTCATTTCTGTTAGTCCAAGCTCTGGGGGCTTATTCCTTCCTTCTCTTTTTCCAAAGTCCAATCTTCACCTGTTCTTCCGTGTCGACATTCTTTCATTGCTGCCTACCTTAGTCGATCTCCAAGTACCCGGTATCACTCTCACCGCTCCCCATCAGCCTCCAAGGCTCAGGCTCACCTTCCACTGAGTACCAACATGGAAGAAGTAACGGAACTACCACCCGGCATCACCCCGTCGCACAACGTTCTCCTCTTCGGTATCCTCCTCGACCATGCCTCCACAGTTCCCGCAGTGCGCTCTTCTCTCGAGCTGACGCGAACATGTGTCCTCGACCTGGAGGAGTTGATCAGGCTTTGCAACGAAAACTTGCCGCTACTCAGGACAAAGCCAGCAGTCTTTCGGCGTACCAACAATATCATTGAGAGCGCTCGAAGCCAAGTATCACAAGTATGTCAGGGTTGGAATGTGAGGCTCACTTGGTTCGTGTGTAGGATATGTAGGATATATAAAGAAAAAAGCTGTGTAATATCCCCACGGGTCAATACACGTAGCATTTGACGAGACGGAAAAAGCTATTACGGGTGATAATCTTGATAATGGTATTCATCTATATGTATCTGTTTTACCGCTTCTCATGCCATACGCGGCATGTTTATGTATTTGCGGACCTGAAGACTAGAGGATATGATTTCAGACGCTTGCAGCCATCAACGAGGGGATTTGAAAAGGGAAGGGCCTCACAACTCCTCGGCTGAACAATCCATCAACATGATCGTGCGTGTGTTTTGCGCTGACAGAACGTTGGTGCTCAGCAGCTGTGTTCATCACTTCAAAACGACTTGTTAGCCTCATGATCCCCTTCTGCGCTTCTAGAGGACCTCATCTGCTTGATCTTTTCCTTGAGTTCTTTCTGTCGCTGTTCGTAAGACGCTTTGACGTTCTGGAACGCCGGTCAGTGCCAGCCACCCCAAGCTTAAAGCCTCATTTAGGTGGTCTGACGTACCTGGTCAGCTTCAGCAGCTGATGTGGTGTCATGGGGAGAGCGGATTCTGTCTTGAGCGCCTGGATCATCAGCCAATCTGTCATGCGCAGGAGATTTTACGGCCGCAGAAGAGGCCCTGCGGCTTCTACTGCCAGGCCTGGGCGTAGCATCCACGCTGCTGTCTCGGTCATCCCTTCTACGAGAGCGTCTGAGAGGGCTCCGCGAGCGGCGAGGGCTAATGCTGCGACTTCCACTTCTGCTGCGTGATCGACGTGTAGAAGAACGGCGGTCGGGAGAAATGCTGCGGCTATTACGACGAGCTCGCTTAACCGGGGTGCGGCTTCGCGATCGGGAGAGGCGAGAAGACCCAGTGGACGATACGGAGCGACTGTAGCGCTTGCTTCGAGTCCTCGACAGGCTCCGGCTCCGGCTCCGGGTCCGGCTTCGACTGCGACCCAGACTCCGCGTCAGGCTTCTACTAAGGCTTCGGGTGATGCTCCGGCTCCGAGTTGGGGTGCGGCTCCGGGTGCGGCTACGGCTTCGGCTAGAGGAAGTGGAGTAGCGGCGGCGTTCGGGACCGGGAACCACGATCGGATGAAACCGAGCGAGTCCGGGATCGGGAGCGCCCCCGGTATCTGGGTCCGCGCCGTGGCGATGGTGATCTGACACGCTTATGCGGTCCCCTGAGGGGGATCGGAGAACGAGAGCGAGTACGTGACCTTGCCCGTCCCCGTCTTGGAGGAGGGCTAGGGGATCGAGTAACAGACCGGCTCCTTCCGTCAACGCTAGGTGACCGCGAGCGAGAACGGGACCTCGACCGCACAGACGGCGACCTAGTGCGAGATCGACGCCTCCTGTCGTCCCGTCGTCCTCCACCACGTCTGAATGTTGGGCTTCCTCGGGGGACATATGAATCTCTGAGTCCTCCTCTTGGCGGGCCACGGTCTCTCTGATCACGGAAACGTGGTGGCGAGCGGGATCGGCCACCGCCACCTCGACCTATGTTCCCTCGGGGGTCACGGTCATCACGGCGTCCTCCACGCCAGGAGTCGCCGCGGCCACCACCCATACCGCCTCCTCGCCCGCCGCGGCCCCTCTCAGGTCTACGTTCGAATTCTTGACGCTTCTGTCGTGCCTCTTCTGCAGCTTTGTCCGCTTCGAGCTGTCGGAAACGCTGTCAGCCAACGTTCACCAGAGATTACCAAAGCGAGCAAATGAGGTGCGTACCTTCTCCTGAATCAGTTCCATCTTCTTGGCCTCCAGCAGCTCCTTCGGAACACCTTGAGGACTAGTCTGCGCGCTGAGGAGAAGCTTCCAAAGGTCCTTGCAGAATGTCGGGGTATCTTTGTCGAGAAAGCCTGTGAGTTGGATCTGCATGGATTTGATGTCGGGCTGCCATCGTCGTGTAGTTAGTATCGAGTTGTCGCAAGGGGCTCGGCAGTTGTAAAGATTACCGGCTACTTACATAGCGGCCACTCTCCAGTAGGTTAAACACAAGCTCGATAACGACATCATCTTCGTTGGCTAGGATTCCGGTGACCTTGCTGGCAATCCATCTGATCAGAAACGCGGCGTGTTAGCGATTGCCTTGTAGTTATCTTCTCCAAGTGTCCGAGTCACCTGAGCATCACGATGATAGGAGCACGTTGACTTGACAGCGATCGGGGGCACTTGCTTCTTCATGACCTGGATGTTAACTTTTTGCATGTCCACCTTCTGATTGAACTCGGGAGGGAATTTGGTGCTCTTCAAGAGCTTGGCGTCCACCCCGGTCGCCATGGTGTGCTGTATGCTGCGATAGGCGGTTGAGATGTTGAGTTGGGCAATGTCGAAATGGCGAGGGCGGAAAGGAATGTTGACGTGAAATTGGTTCACCAGATTTCGAGCGACGTTCGGGGCAAGTCAACAGAAGATGATGTCGTCGGGCGCGACGTTTTATGGTGGGTCCTCTCTAACTGATTGTGGAGCCACACGCGCGCTGTCGGAAGTCACTTGCAAGGGGTCGGTCCAGGGGCCAGGGGTTGCGACGTTGAACTCGAGCTTAAGTGGACGGTCGAAGCTACATTCTTCTGGAAACTACGTGCAGGCTGATCACGCATGTCGTCTGCTACAATATGAAGTACATGACCTGGTCGGATTTGTTGTTTGTAAATATACAGAGAGGCGGTGATTTGTCCTAGGGATCCTGTAGTTAATGTGGGCTATAAAACTCTCGGCAACGGTGGACAACTGTCACTTGTTCTTGTTCATATTTCACTATGACATCAACAGATGTTATGATTCAATAACTCAAATATCGGAAGGCCAGGTTCGAGGTTATAGATTTACTAACCTTGATCTCACAAAGCAATTGGACTGATGGTAAACCCAGTATCATAGAGGCATCTCCCCAACATATACATAGGAGGTATTCATAGAGACGTGGACGCAGTGGCAGAAAGCCAAGTGTTGTGAGGATAAGTAAATTTTCAAGGCATAAGCAAATCATAATTCATTGCTCCGTCTAAGAAACCCACGTATCCTACATCAGAGGACGGACATCCTCCTGTGCTTTTAGAACGCCAAACAGTGTTACTAGAAAATACATCGCGGTTTTCCCTCCGAGCCATTGTACCATATCATTTGCGCAAACGCCAAACACGAATTGATGAAGAATGACATGTCCACGGACCATAATGACTAATCTATTAGCAGGCCAAAAAGACGAGTAAAAGTAAAGCCATTACCCAAGCAAAACCATCCGAGCTTGTACTCTTGGATTGCCATCGTGACTGTATATGGGTCATGCGAAATGCAACGATCTTGAACTAAAACAAATGCGCAGAAAGGAACCTTGTTGCATGGAGTGTGTTCACGAAGATGGCGGTGATTGGGTCTTGGGATAGATGAAACGACTTATTTTGGCATCTGAGCCATCCTTCTTGTCCGTCTGGTAGCGGGATTGCAATGCGGCTATCTTGTCTCTGAGCTTGTCAATGCTTGTGGTGTCTTGCTGCTTCAGCTTCGTGCGGATCTCGTATAATGCCATCAGGGAATGGGCTCGGTCAATGTCATCTTCGGGCTGTATTTTCGTGAAGCTGTTAGTACTGCGACCCTCCTATACAACCAAACATCGGACCTGATATCTGACCTCGGATTCTCTTCGTGGAGTGCCGGGGATGGACCCATGGTTCGAGTTCGTCCGCGTCATGGGGGGAGTTGCAAGAGGACGGCCGTATTTGTCATATCTGGCGGATGAGGCCGTCCTCGACAGTAGTGAGGTTGTGGAAGCGACACGTTGGTGTTGGAGTTGATTAGGGCGGATGGGAGGCTGGTCGGTCGATGGCTTCAAAGACTGATGCGACGATTCCGCAGCGGGCTGACCGGCGCTCTTGTTTGCGTTGACGACCGCAATTGCGGCCTGTGATTCTTGCTGTGGCGAGAATGTCAGTGAATAATGAGCCAACACGGGCGGATCCCCAACGCAGTGCCATGTGCGCGACGCTGACAGAGGAACCTGGACGTGAAGTTCTGTGGGGAAAGATGGATACATACAGCTGCATTTAGATCGCTGAGATCGGCCAACATCTGGGCAAGTTGAATGCTCTCCATTGTATTGGCTGCAGTATTTTAATCTGTTTCGCGATCATATAATAGATATGGGGCAAGAGTTGTAGAAGAAGGTTTGGCTCCAATGTGTCGACACCTTGGAGTTTCGGTCTCCCTCGGGACGAGTAAATCACGTAGGGTCAAGAATGGTGTGTGAATGTAGAAAAGTCGTCGCGGGTGCAAATGTGTCTTCCTTTTGTTGCAGGTAAAGGCGGCAGAAGATCGGGAGATCCAGGAGGGAGACGAAGAGGAAGCAGCCGGGTGACCTAAAGTGGTCGCAGATGAGCGGAAGTATTGTATAATGAAAGCCGTTTTAGAGTTCACGTCATACTGGTAACCCACCGCCCAATTGTTTTGAGCTGTTCCGCTTTGTCACCGGGCAGCTTGGTTGCAGACCGTCTGACCGAATGGATTGGAAGGAATCCAGTGGGCGCAGTAGATGGTGTATGGTGGCGGGGTGCGAGCGCAAATGTTCTGAAAGGTGCGACCTTGGAATGAGTGTGGAATGGACTGCCGATTTGCAACTTGGAGGTCTCAAAGGGATGACGGGGAGGGACGTCTCTTTCTTTGCTGGAAAAATCCCATGGTGGTGCTAGGATGCTGTTGGGGTGTCGCGTGGGACTGCCAGCAGGGCATTCTGGGCATCTCCGCTAAACCACCGATTTAACCTTCCCCACACTACAGTAGCGGTCCCCACTTCCCGCCCTTACAGCTCCACCGAGGATAGAGGTTTAGGAGAGCCAATAATAAACAGCTAGATCAGAATGATCACCATCCTCCGTGCTCGGGGCCGAGATCCTGGTGCGAGCTGGCAGCCGGCGGCTCCGCATTCACGATCCTCCACCTTTCTAATGCTGCCAAGACGGTTCCTTGGCTGGTGCTGTAGCAAGAGCTGTTCAGTGCACTAACATTCCTTCTCAGCGGTTGTTGTGCTCGTCTCGATAATCCCGTCGTACTTATCCCCAACCCTCTCGGCGTTACGCAACTTTGAAGCTAAATTGCTTATTGACTGTGGTCAGCATATCGAACAAAGTGGTGAGTTTCAGCCAATGGCAGAGCGGTGAGGTGATTGATCGGTTGTGTCCGGGATATCTTTTCCAGAGTCACAGAGTCACAGTTGAGAAGGTCGCAAACTGCCTGAATTCGGCACTCAATATAAAACCCCCCAAAAACCTGTTATTGTTGAATAAGCAAAGCCTGAATCTCATACAGATCTATATAACCGGTCCAAACCAGTCGCAAATATGAGTCTCACATTCAGGAGAGGATTGACAACCATGGCGTCGCTCAAGAAGGCCACCAAGGTCGTTTGCATTGGCCGCAACTATGCGTAAGTCTGCACAAGTATCCCATAAGCTCATCTGAATAGTTTGCTGACTTGTTCAACAGGGACCATATCGCGGAGCTGAACAGCGCAAAGCCCAAGCAGCCTTTCTTCTTCCTTAAGCCTCCTTCGTCTATCATCCTCCCCGGAGAAGGACCTGTGGTTCGGCCTCGTGGTGTTGATATGCACTACGAGGTTGAGCTTGCTCTTATCCTCGGCAAGCGTGTCAGAGACCATGATGCTTCTGACTTGAAGGGAGCTCTGGATTCCATTGAGAGTGAGTTTCCAAACTCCAATGCTCCGTAGTCACGGTACTAATTTTCGTTTCTTAAGGCTATGCCCTCAGCATCGACATGACGGCCCGCAACGTCCAGAACGAGGCCAAGAAGAAGGGTCTCCCCTGGGACATTGCCAAGGGATTCGACACCTTCCTGCCCATGAGCAAGCTCATCGAGAAGTCCCGTATCCAGGACCCCCACAACATCGAGCTCTACCTCAAGGTCAACGACGAGGTTCGCCAGAACGACTCCACCAACTTGATGCTGTTTCAGATTCCCCGCATCCTCAGCGACATCTCCAAGGTTATGACTCTCGAGGCCGGTGACATCGTCCTGACCGGCACTCCCAAGGGTGTTGGTCCGGTTGTTCCCGGTGATGTCATGCGCGCCGGTATCCGTGTGGATGGCAAGGAGCTTGAGGAGGCCAAGATCGAGATTGCGGTCGAGGAGTCTACCCGCGCGTATGAGTACGCCGAGACGTAAACACCGAATGAACACGGATGGTGGCCTACCCGCAGATACCCTCGCGTAGTTCGATGTACATATGATTCTATTTTATATACTCAGGCAGGCGTATGTTGGATAAAGGCCACTCTCCGCCGCGCTGAATCCCTTGAAAAAAAACAAAAAAAAACAGCCATACGGACGCTTCGATCTACTCCTCGTTCGGGTTCTTAATCGATCCAGGCTTAGGGCACCAATCCGCCAGCTCGCCACACTTCTTGCAAGTCCTCAGCTGCTCATCCCCCTTGAAAGCCTCTACAGCCGCCTTGATTTGCGTCCCCAGATCGGTGCAGTGGAAGCTCGCCTCGTGGACGATCTCCTTGCAGTTCTGGCAGTACCACCTCATGCGGTCGATGGCGTCCGCGGGACGCTTCTGCTCCAGCACGATACCGACCGTGTCGGCGAACCGCACTGGGTTATGCGGGGTGTTGCCGGGCAGAAGGAACATCTCACCCTCGCGGATGATGATGTCCCTGAAGTTTCCGTCATCGACCACCTTGAGCATCATGGCGCCCTTGTACTGATAGAACCATTCGGGTGTTTGGTTGATGTGGTAATCTGTGCGGGCGTTGGGGCCACCAACGATCTGCCAACGGCGTCAAAAAACGGTCATGGGATAGAGATTGGTTTGGAAATCGAGTTGCTACTTACCATGACGGTAAAGTCATCATTGTAAACGCAGTAGTTGTTGATGGGGGGCTTCAAAAGGTGAGAGTTCTCTTCGAGCCTGTGTAAGCTGTGAGCGCAAGCTGATACGCTGAGGGGTTACACATGGCTGATGGGGATACATACCATTTCGGCAGGTTTACTGGTGCGGAGAGCATTTTGTCGGCGCTAATAGGTGTTTGTGATCACTATGACCTTTGTTCGCTTTTTTCTTTCCTATTTGCTTCTCTTGCTTTTTCTTCCCCAAAGTCGAACTCCAAGGTCCTTCAAGCTATGACGCTGACGATGCAATGATTCAGAGCGCGAACAGCTGACTGCTTTGTCAGCTCAAGCAGTACCTTAACGGGCCGGAAAAACACATACCCTTTCGAAATATGCTGGATCTTTTTAGTGCAGAATTGGGAATGGGCTTGTTGTATATACACCATGGAAGAGCACAAGTCCAAATATGTCCTCACGTAGACAATGGGAGTCCGTACTTGTATTAACGAACATGCCCTGAAGCACTGCAAACCAACTTCATCCCGGCCCCGGGCGCGGGTCGGGTTTCCGGTGCCCCGCCAGATGATGCCCGCTGTCAGACGGGATTTCGGGGCCTGCCGAATTCGAGACCTCAGACGAGTCTGTTTTCCCCATGTGTTTTGTTCGGACGGGATGCCACACCTACCTACCTACCCCTGTTTATCTTGCTCAAACTAGCTTGGCATAGCGGGTTTGCGATATTGGTGCCACCTGCAGGTGTTGGAATGGCGTCTGTAGGGGCATTTTCAGGTGCTCGGTGGTGTCTCGTCAGGGTCGGGTACCTGAACGTGCGAAACTCCAACCAGCCTCGAGGTTCCACCGAACACTTTCATCTGACAGGACACGAAACGCTCTCACTTACAACCAAACCACCTCTCTACATACCTTATAAGCCGAAGCCCCGACCAACGATCTCGCCCTCTTTCTTCCATCCCATAACCGAAGCGAAACAAAACAAAACAACTCAAACGAGCAGCAAACCAATCGATCATGGATCACTCCGGCCACGACCACAGCGCCCACATGGACCACTCTGGCCATGATATGAGCGCCGCCGGTGACATGCACTCCGGTCATCCTGGAATGGGAGGACCGCCTCGGTGTAGCATGAACATGCTCTTCACCTGGAACACGGATAACCTCTGCATCGTCTTCCGCCAATGGCGCATCGACTCAACCTTCACCCTCGTGGTCTCGCTTCTCGCCATCGTCGCCCTGGCGGCTGGCTACGAGGCGCTCCGCGAGGGTATCAGGCAGTACGAAGCTTGGACTAACAAGAGGGTGGAGACTGCGCCTCGTAAGTTATTGATGTCTCTTTCCATTTTTTGAGTATTCTTTTTGTATCCCCTTTGAACAACTCTTTTCGTCAAACATCTGAAAGGAAACAAGCACAAGAGAAAAAGAGAGAAAAAGAGAGAAAAAGAAAACATCGCAATTATGCCCAAACCCAGAATGCCTACCACATCTATTTTGTTGTTCTCTGAGTTTGGTCGTCACACATGATCGCATAGTATCGTATCGTATCGCTAAAATGAGACATCTATCCGTCTTGGAGACCCCCGTCGAGACGGAAACTATCGCGATGGTGACGAGGATGTTGAAACACCACGTCGTCAAGACTACCTTGAACAACGCCAAGAAGAAGAAGAAGAACGTCTTGCTGAGACTATCACCACGCCGTGGTTCCTAGGGCAAAATGCGGCCGAAGTCACCAAGCGGGCCCACGCCATCAAGTCGGTTCTGTACGGAATCCAGAACTTTTATGCTTTTATGATCATGTAAGATCCCCCCTTTCTTGGCTTGGCCCCTCGACTTGCATGTTCTCTATCTGACGAGAGAAAGGCTCATCTTCATGACGTACAATGGCTGGGTCATGATGGCCTGTTCTGTTGGAGCTGCGCTGGGGTACTTCATCTTCGGGTCCCGTACCACTGCTACCAAGGATACTGCTTGCCATTAGGAGGTGTCATGGACGTGTTCATGGATGCGAGACGCTCAGACATGAGGAGAAACCAATATAGATCGGACTGCGAGATGCTATTGTGGCATTGCATGATGGCCGATGAGCAGAACGGCTAGAGGCGTCCGAGAGGTGCAATTGGAGTGTTGCTGGACGTAATGGGCAATTTATAAGAAAGGGATTCGTGGAATACCCAGGGGATGACAGATAATGCTAGTTGTCGGTCTATTGTATCATGATAAAATAATGGGTGTGTGGCGCATGCATATATATGACAGACGTTGAAGCGACGAGGAAGAAAAAAAGAAAAAAAAAAGAGTTGCGCCAGCCGCGAATCGAACGCGGGCCCATCGATGGCAGATGGGATTACCACTAAACCACTGGCGCTTAATGGTGTAATATTAGAATTGAGGCATGACAAGTGGTTATGAATGGTAACAAGCCGTCTATTCCAACTCCCTTGCTTTCTTTCCCACAATAAATCAATGCCTAGGTCTTCCATCTACATCTTCGACGCCTCGCTCGCCTTCTTCGCCGCCTCACTTGCCTTTTTCAGATCCTCCTGCGTAAAAACACTCCCCTTCTTCGTCTTCTCCCCCAACATACCCAACTTATCCAACCCCATAATCATCCTCTCGTCTCCAAAATGGCTGTTATGCTCGAACTCCGGTTCCTCTCCATACGCCACCGTCGCCGCATCCACCAGTATCCTCGCCGTCATGCCCCACACCTTGTACCGCTCCTCTTCCTCATTCTCGTCTCCGCCGCGCGTAAGTGCCGCTGTCGGCGGCGGCAAGTCCTCGTCGTCTTCCGGGTTGATCGCGTTCTTGTTATCGTCAGGCGACTTTCCTTCTACTGCCGCCTTTGGCCGTGACCCCGGCTTGGCCACCCGCTGATTATTGACGGGCACGTAAAAGAAGTGCATCCGCCACGGCTCCTCATGCCAGTTCGTCCAGCTGCCTTCGTACCACTTGCCTGGCGGTAGCCTTTCTTGCGAGCCGTCGTCGTGCTTCGCAATCTCGTCATTGGCTCGCAGAAAGTTGTGGAAGGGCGCGGTGAAGACGGCCGCGACCTCCTTGGCGTTGAGACGCGGGATCAGGGCTTCGTCTGCTGTTGGCGCATCCTTGTTGTCGCCATCGGTTGTTGGTGATGGTGACTTTTTCCCGTGGTCGGCATGCAAGAACGCGACGCAAGGACGCACCACGAGTTCGGTGCGTGCGAGGTTCATGGGTAGGTAGCAGAGGTGTTCGATGCGGAAGGGCGAGGGGAGCTTACTGTCGTCCATGGGAAGACCAATTTCTTCCCAGGCTTCGCGGCGGGCGATTTGGTCTATGTGAGAGGTCAGTGTTAGTCGTGTCTTGTTCGCGTCACTAGCAGTTTATGTGAACGTTAGGCCGACGCTTCATACATGGTGTTTCTTCTACACTATCTGCTTTTCCCCCGGGTAGCGCGGCATGTCCAGAGAAGCTGCGCATACTCGCGGCGCGCATAGTGATGACCACACGGAGATCACCACGCTTGTCTGCATAAAGGAGCAACAGCACCGCGGCACGGCGACTGAGTGGTAGGCGATCCCATAGCGGGAATGGAGGGGGCTTAAAGGCTCTTAGCCGGGCAATGGCGGCCTGCAAGACATGATTATGTTAGGTGACATGACTTCAGACGGCTTTCTAAAAGAGTTGATGGTTCATGTAGTCTCGCGAGCAATGCAAGGGGCCGACCCGACTGTTACATCAGGGCGACATGCAAGCCCGGGCCGGGGCTGGAGCCGGAGTGACACACCGGACATCCGGCACCGGAGTAGGGGAACACATAACCGGCCCGGAGCCAAGAACATAGGTAGGTACTAACCGCCGAGGCTGAGCTTAGTGGTGCCATAGTCGAAGCATCCCAATAATATGAGGTCTCGTTGTCGATATCCTTCTCTCCGTCCTGGTCCTTTGCGCCCTCTCCGTCTTCTTCAGTTATGGTGGTATTCTCCCCCTGTTCGCCCGTTGGCAGTTCACCGGATCTTGTTGACGATGGAAAGAGGATTTCGGGATCCTGGACACCCTCGATACTCTGAACAATGGTCTGGAACTCTTCGCTGTCTTGAGGGACGTCGCCGGTGGTGTGTGCGCCCACTTCGATCGAAGCACTCATGGTATCAACCAGGATGTGCCGTAAGAAATAGGTACGGTGAATAGTAAACAGAGGGCTCGAGAACCGAGGCTGGAAGTTGGGCGCAAAAGAAGGGGGTGGGAGAACTGGACTGGAACTCCTCTCCCGTCAACACGGTAGCGGAACAAGTCACCGTACAGTATGACACGGTCTACGTACAGATAGGTACCTTTTGGAGATGTTTATGCGGGGAAATAGCGGGGAACGAGGAGCGATCCCGGTGGAAGTCGGAGTGATTTAGTGGGTCTTTGCGGGCGGATATACTGACGTCAGTGAGGTTGAAGTTATTCCCTTCAGCTGGGGTGTAGGGGCAGTTTTTAGTACCGTCTACTACACGAAGGAAACTGTATGACAGACGAACTATTCTTCACCTTTATGTGCAAAATACAACTCCCATGCGGTTACCAGTCAATTCCACTCCATAAGTACTCCAGCATGCTGAAATGATAGTTTCACATTGCGACAGCGGTTCATCCTTTTCTGACGGCCTCACCCTTTGTCATGCTTGATGCGCCAACCGATGCCAGGGCTCCCCGGTGTGTCAAACTCGCAGCCCAACAGCCAACATACCAGCATGTTTGACTACAGTATCTGTATGCAAACGCCATCAAGTACGAAGACAATCACAAAGGGCTGATCTCTGGGTTTGAGCATCATATGCAAGTCCACGACGATCCAGGTTCGTTTGTACAAAACATCACCACCAGCTATATTCTACAGGAAAACCCCCCATAATACATCCTTCCTGCTCCAGGCATCGCACCTACTGCCAACCCTCCTCCGGAATACCATCTCACAACCACCCCTGCTCCTCACTTCTCGCTGGCCTCTCAGGCGGCGACAACAACTCGTGTCCTGTGATAAACTCAACCGGCGCCTCCACCCTGCCTCCATCGCCCAACACCCTGATACTATTCTTCAGATTCTCTCTCTTCTTCACCGACTTGGTTCTCCTCACCAACCGGCCGCCGACCAATAACTCGTTCGTCTTTGCTGCCAACGCGCTCATTTTCAGAGTCTGAGGCAGTGGGAAAAACCCGATGGCAGACGAGGTGGATGAGGAGCCGGTCGAAAAGGAGAAGGATGACGGCTGTCCCATGCCGCCGCCGCCGCCGCCGCTATCAGCTGTGCGCGGCCGATGGGCCAATGGTGTGGCTCCTATAGCGGCAGTAGTGGTCTTTGAGCTCTGATCGTGGTATCTCTCTGCGGCTGTTTGATATTGTGTGGGAGAGCCGCGTTCGATGGTCGTGGGCGTTGATGTGCTGGTGGGTGTGGACGTAGGTGTTGATGTTACCGGTGATGCCCCTCCTGCTGGTGTTGATCCCGAAACGTGTCTAAACACCTTGGAAACCAAGGACCGTCGGAACAGAGACGTGCGAGTCTCACCGTCGCCGTAATCGCCGTCGCTATGGT